TGAATTGGTATAGACTTTGGTGTATTTGAACTACTTAAATGTATAATTTTTTTTTATTAATGTGGAGGAGATGGATTGTTTATAAATAGAGTTTGTGGAGTTAGAGATATTAATATTTGTTTACCTATATTTGAATATTAGCCTGGGACTTGGTTTGGGAAGTCCGGGGGGGTGGGATATAATATAATATTGTGTAATATTTGTGATGTTTTTTTTGTTTTTTTGGAAAATAATAAAAATTTTATATTCAAAAAAAAAATAAAATATGACTCAGTTGTCAAGCATCTGAATTTTGATCCTGTGACCATGGGGATGCTGCAACAGTCATAAGTGTGAAAAATGGTCACAAATCATTTTTTTTCAGTGCCATTGTAACTTCAAACAGTCACTAAATGAATTGTTTTAAGTTGAGGACTACCTGTAATATTAAGTTACTTGTATAATCTTGGATATAATATTCAAGAACGATTCCTCCACTAAGAAATATCCTCCTCAGTGGATATTTAGAATCAGTTCTTACAGGATTATTTCACGATTACAACTACATTTACTATGAGAAGGCAAACATATTTCAGTTCCATATATTAAATGAGTCACACTTTTTTCTCTGAATAGCCTAAAGGGTAAAAGTCTGCAGTTCATTCCACATAATTTAAAAAAATGGAACCTAATTTGCAATGTGATAAGAACATTGTCTCTTTAAAATACATTTCTCAATTTACCAATAAAATTGAAATAAGATGTTGTGAGATGGGAAAGGAATATTTTGAGCTATGAGGTAAAAGAGTTAAAGAATCTTTCTTCTCCTCAGTTCTCTGCAAGAATGCAAGCTCATAGCTGCTTTCAGCTTTAAAAATAAAACATTGGAATAAGAGAATATACATTGCAGCATTCATGTGTGGTTAAGCCTTCATTTGAATTATTAAAATGCTTCCTTACAATTTTGATCATATTTTCAGAATCTGATCTTAAAACACCGGATATAATACTTCTCTGTAAGTGTGCCAAGCACAGTCATAAAAAGAGTATTTGTCAAACATGTTATCACATTTCCAGCTGTGCAGAAGTAACCCCGCACTGGGTTTAACTGTTGTTGCTCACCCATCCCACAAAAATACAAATTTGCAATCTCAGATTCTTTTCTCTCATCTAATCTTCTGAAATCTCATTCCCAACTCCACTTTATTTAACTGCTTCCAAGATGCATGACCTATTTTTTATTATTATAAAAATAAATAGCAAACAGTTACTTTAAACAAGAGGTGATAATCATAAACCTTTTACATTTTTGTATAAAGATTTCCAAAGAGAAATTACAATACAGTAGTATCTGTAATAGTTGATACATCATGATATACATGTTTGTCTTACTTGAAACTGAAAAATTGCAAGGGGCAAAACATGTATAGGTAGTTCTTGCTTATCAACTCTGTTGTTTAGTGGCCTTTCAAACTTACAATGATGCAAAAGAAAGATTTATGACCAATCCTTGCATTTATGACCACTGGTGATGTGATTGCCTTTTGTGTGCTTTGCAACTTGCTTGCAGCAAGCAGAGTTAATTAGAGAAGGTAGAAGTAAAATCATAAGTCACAGTCATGTGAGGTTTCACTTAATGACTGCAGTGACTTAATGACCAAATGGGAGTGCAGTTATAAGCTTCTTGCAGTTATGTGATTTCTGCTTAGTGACTGCTGTGATTGGTGATGGAGTTGCTGGTCTCAATTGTGATCACTAGGGGAGGACTACCTGTATACACATTCAAGCACTACTGTGCAGAGAGTCCGAAATTGTGAATTCTATTTCTGAAAATACTGAACTTTCTTCTTTCACTCTATGGAACCTATTCTGGTGGGGTGCAATGTAGACTAGCCTCCTTGTGGTGCACCCCAGGCAATGTGACTTTATCACAACTAAATAATCTACACCTTCTGGCTGCTGGACCTCACAACGATTTCCTAGCAAGAAGCAGCAGCATGAGTATGCCATATAAAATAAATAACCTATTCTGTTTTAGTTGAGTGTTTTAAGCTCAGTTCAGGAAGTTTCAGTGTCAGTCTTCTAACCTGGTCAAGACTAATCATTCAGCTACCTTGATGGTTATAATAGACATCATACTGGACTTCAGAATATACTGTTTAATCAATAATCGGCAGGTCTGAGGTCTCTTCCTTTGCACCCAAAGCCCAAATTCAAAGCTGAAGGAAGAACAATATTGGACAATGGAAAATGACCATTAGAAATTAATCCGTTCACAAATACCAGTGCCCAAGAAGAACCATGCATGTGGTTACTACTTTTAGGAGGGGTGGTTGCATCCTACCCGCAGTGCTCCAAAGAAGATCCACTTTCTTTCACGTGCGTTTACCATGGATTCTGAGCCAATGGCCCCACTAAAGAGAGTGATCCCATCTTTCTACTTACTCATGCCTCTCAAGGTGAGCTCAGGCCTTCCAGGAGGGCTGGGCTGCTGCACATCACATGTCTCTTCCTTCTGAAGAAGGCTGCTCTTCTCTTTCTCACCCTGCCACCTGGTAGGCAGAAAAAGCACAACCAATCAATTTCTCTTCATATCCATAATATGTCAGGGCTGTGCAAATATTTAATTTGTAAACAGTCTGAAGGTGATTCACCGAGTCATGAAATCAAATTTTCAAACTGAAGTAATGATTTATTTCAAATCAAAACAGACACCTCTTAATTCAATTCAAACCAACTCAAACCCTTTTTGTATAGGCACACATGGGTTCAAATCAAATTATTAAGATTCTGATTATTGGATTTGGACATCCAAATTGAATTAGACTAATTTTCCAAATCAAATTGTTAATTTTAGTCAGATCAACTTGCCAGTCCAAATCAACAATTCAAATTGGAGTGGACCCAATTTGCATATATATCTCCAACTATCTTATAACACAATGCACAAAAGGGTTATAATTATTAAACCATAGTTCTGTCTCTTGCCTGGCATCTTTATAAAGAAAAGACCAGGTTCTTCTAGGAGGAACCAACCTTTTTGATCTAAGGTGCCAAGTCACATGATCCAAACTCACATATCACATATAAAGAGTGCAGTAAATATTTTAGTTGAATGAACTAGCACTGGCATATGACAGCTCTTGGCATATGTCAGAGCAATTCTGAAATTGTTATGATACATATATATCTCCATGACCATATAATTCAATATGCCACTGGGATGCCATAGCAGGCTATCTACTGTGGTCAGGCAGTAATGCTATCTGAGAACCTGGAGAAGCAATACAATAAATAATTTTGCTACAAGCACTTGTCTGTATAGATCTATTCAAATCAAATTCTTAACAAGTCTCACTGTGTTAATGAATTTGGCTCTAAGCGATAGCTTGTTTTTAGTGCTAGAGTCTAAAAATGGAGTTGTTCTTCTCCACCTTGGCTCATATATTTTTTTTGTATCAGTCAAATGCTAAACTTTCTCAAGAAAACTAGGGCTAAAAGGAATGATATATTTCCTGTGATGCATCTTATTTAATAATATTTGGATAATGGAAAGCAGAACTAGATATTTTTTTCTATTCACCTTTACATAGAAAACCATAAAGGCAGGATAAAAATCCAGTAAATAAATAAGAAGATACATCCTAAGAAAGATGTATCTAGGAATACATACCCGGTGACACTTACCGATAATGAAAAGGGGCAACGGTGGCCATAATGGGATGGTTGTGCTGTGGCACAGAAGAAAAACTGATGGGTGCTGTATGTAACACAGGTCCCTTATTAAGGCTGCTTGTATCCAGTGAGATTGTTTGAGGATTATCTTCTTGCTTAGATGTTCCATTTTCCTTCCAGTTGGATTCTGAGACTGATGGACCTTTTGCTGGACAGCTCTGAGGCCTCTTTGTGGCAGATCCATCTGAAGTCTTGGACATTAATGTCTCATTATACAGATTGAGATATGAAGGGCTCTTCCCTGGAAGATGAGTGGTCTTTGCAGGTTCAGCAATTGTGCTGGGTTTTCCAAGGACCTTCACAGCAACAAGACTGCTATTACTTTCACCTTGTTTAGAAGTGTTCTTTACTTTCTCGGTTGTCTGAATAACAGCTTTCTTCACAATCTTGGTGGTTCTGGAATTGGCCTTTGATAAGCCCCAGGTGTTACTGTAGCCAGACACCAAACCTGAACCAAGGCTAGAATCCATCTCCTCTGTCTCACCATGGCTCCCAGGTATGTCTGTTTTCTCTGGTCTAGGGTTTGCAGCAGCTGCAGCCTTAACCGCGAGCTTCTGTTTCGATCCTTTAGGAGCTCCACAGGTTGAGCTTGCCTGTGCCTTCCCTGTCCTGGGAGATGGTATTCTTGGTGAGGAAAATGCTCCCACACCGTTCTGTTTAGGGGGCAGTTTAGGAGATGCTGCCAAAGTATGTATCTTGCTGTGAGATGCAGCTCTGGGAATAGGTATAGAGGAGGCATAATGGCTGCGTCCAGCTGCATTCACATTGGCTGTTCCATTCATCATCAGCAAAACTTGTATGGAGGAAAATCAATCTGAGAAAACATAAATCAGAGCATATTAAGTCTGGCGCGTCAAAGTCAAACCTGTTCAGCACAAGGATGTGTATATCTGCAAGTGAAAATCTTCCCATCCTTTTTAAATTTAGTTTTAATTTTACATTTCCATATTACTTACCATTAAGACAAAAGATTGCTAGCTGCATAACACTGAAATTGCTATTTTCTGTCTACATAATACTGAAATCAAGCTCACCATCATACATAAAGACAATAAAAATAGTTTTTAGAGTGTGCTAAATTTAAACAATATTAAGGCGAGAATAGTCTTTGAAAAAAGCTTTTCGGTAAAAGATGAATTACTAATAAATATTTGAATTTGAATAATTTCAATAAACAAAGGTCATTTAAATCAAATCAAGTATGGTGTATTGATTTCCTTCAAACTATCAGTTCAACTATTCTTCAATTTTATAAAAATATCAAGCTTTTCCTGACTTTTATACAGTCCATCAAATTAATATAATAGATTTACTCCTATCTGGTTTGCTGAAAAACAGCTCAAACGTAATTACTATGTCATTTAGCATGATAGATAGAAGGTATAAGAAACTAACACTTCTTTCTGCAACTATTGGTAAACTGCTCCAGTGGTTTATAAGCTGAACTGAATTATGTAAAGAAGTAATATTCCATTTGGGTAACAGCATGCTAAATCTGGTTTCTTTATGATCATACTAAATTAATATGAGGGAATCAGTTCTTGAAAATAGCAAGACCATTACTATGTGTAGATAATTTACAATTAGATTCATAGTCTAACACATGTGGAGACTTAATAATTCAAGTCCTAACCAAGGACTTATGAATTATTAAGGAATTATTATCTGTTCACAACAACGTGAAATCATAGCTGCCAATTCTTTAGCTGGTGTGGGCCTTCATTTGCATCAAGTTCTCCCCAAGAACCTAGAATGTTGTAATATATTGGTATAATATATGTATGGATCCAAGCAGTGTGGCCTGCGCAATGACAGATAGAAAATTTGTCAATGTGCAGATTTTATAGGTGCTGTACAAAATATTTTGATATGGCACTCACTGTGCTGATAACCACCGGGACCACTATGGTAAATTTATGCCCTCATCTCTCAGTTTCAATTTTCAGATCTCGATACTTGTGATCTTCTCCTATTCTACTATCTCCTGGTGTTTCCATACCATTTATGCACATTTTCCTCTTTTCAATCAGTTACAAAATTGATAGGTTCAGTAACGGTCATAATCAATATGCAGGACTGATTCATATGTTGTAGTCATGCACTATGACAGTTCTCATTCAAGCAGAAGATATTGTACATGAGTACATGCATTTTAAAAAGTAAGAATTGGACAAAGGAAATGGATATTGCATACCTTTATAATAGCCCACAAAAGATTCTGCTACAAAGTTTGAAGGATGCCTATTCTCCATTAATTATGTAATGGTCTGATTCTTTTTATCTCTTTCTATATTCTAAAGTATTTTAACCAGCAATTTACCATTGGAAGTCCTGATTAGAGAACCATTTATAAATTTGAACAACATACACTAGCTTATCTTTAATTTCCCATGTTTTTCTTTTTGGTGTGTAAACTTGTTCAACTATTTAAAATTTAATTATATAATACAATATTAATACACACCTTATTAGTATATAATAGTTGTAAGTTTTGGCAGCTTCTTTTTTCTTTCATTAGAAAAAAAGAGAGAACTAGAGTTTCTCTGTTGCTGCTGTTCGGCTTAAATGCCTGGCCAGCAGAGATTAACAGGCTCAAATCTGTACATAATTTGATTTGTTTCCCAGCTGTTTTTGAATTAGCAAAGGACCATAAAAGTCTTATCATTCTTCAAAAGAAAAATAACTGCAAATGTACTGTTGTCAAATTTGCAACAGGGAAGGAAAATATGTTGTCCCCAAATAATAGAAGTGCCAGGAAGAAAGATTTTAGTCTTAAGGTACAAAAGAATTTGGCAAACATATTCAGAATGTGAGAGTTTTACATTCTACATACAGGAAGGAACTACTTTCAAACTAAAGGAAGGAAATAAGATTATTTATAACATGTTTTGGGAACACTAATGGGAGGGAGGAGATAAACTGTGTTTCTGAGTGGCATCACTAATAAGGAGATGTTCTGAATGTTATGGAAAACAAATATATTACAACTATTTGTTTTATAGACCACTTTCCCCCCCCTATGATCTCAAGGCAAAATACACAATGCTACCTTCTCCCATTTTCTCCTTGATAAAAACCATGTGAGGAAGGTTGGCCTGAGAGAGAATGAGTGGCCCCAAATCACTCAGAGCCTCCCAAGATGCAACTGAATCTCCATCTTCCTGACCTTACAGAATTAGGATTCTGTTCAAGGATCTGTTGGACACATGCTTATATTTTATGAATCCCACATGATTATTCAAGACTTGTTTTATACAATGTTATCATTATATGTTGGTGCTTTACATTATATATAAAGAAACAGATTCTTGCATCAAGGAGTTTACACTCTAGAGCTACTTCATAATGTTAACACTGTCAGTATTTATACATTTTACAATTGATATGAAACACAGCAGTCAAAATGTACTAAGATTTCAATTACTAGCTGTTACCCAATAGATAGAAGTGCACTGACTTCTCCACTATTTCCAATAATATAATATTTTGACAATTTTTACAACTCTGGATAGAACAAAAAGGATGCTTATCAAATTTGCAGATGCTATCAAGTTAGGAGGATTGATTTACACCTCAAAAGACAAAACTCATAATTCAATTATCTTGATCAGATCAAAAGGCTGATATACACAGTGAGAAATATTAGGTCTAGTATACAGTATGTAGGAAAACAGGGGCAAAATTATGGAAGTTTGGATAATAGCAGCATATGCCCCAAAATTCTAGGAGCCTTAGTAGTCTTATCACTTGAATATGAACAAGCAATATAGAGCTTCAGCAAAGATATATGCAATCTTAGGCTGCATTAACAGAATAATGGAATTTATAGTATATGATTTAAAAAGAAACTAGACGCTTTAGAGCATGAAGCACTGTATTCCAATGACAGTAGGTATATCAGTATGTATATTTTATTTATTATTTTATAATTAACACTCCTATGCCATTTTATTCCAACCAACTTACAGCTAGAGCATTGTGCCCAGTTTTGAAAATCATACAGTACTTTTACAAGGGACAAACAGCAGATTCAAAAAAGAGCTATCAGAGATAAATGACTGGAGGAACAGTAGATTCACCTCACACTTAACCTATACAACTATCACTCCTCATATGTTGCAATTCTGTACGTGCAGAAATGCAAAATTCAAGTTGTATTTCTCACCAGATGTTTGCTGACTAAAACATCCTTCTTTCATACACAAGATCCTGTATTGCCTGCCAAACTGTTACTCTGGAATTGGAAGGCAGACTCACCAAAACTATGCTTATTTATGTCACTAAGATCTAAACATTTTTGGTAATCAAACCCTCTTCACCCTATTAAACTTCTCAGAGTATAAGGAATTTATCAATGAATCCCTAACAACCAAACTATACTGAAGAGAATAAAAGAAAGAGAACTATTTTCTACATTTATCTTAATTTTCCCTTATCACTATTTCAGGCTATTCCTCCAGCTGCTATCTTGGCTGTCAGCTGGCTCCATCTGGAAGGGCAGGAAAGAGAGTTAATTCCTCAGAGGAAGTTTGCTCTGGATTTTATTTTAATGTTTTTTCCCCATGATACTTCAAGGACACTATTCTCAGTAGCTCATTTCCATGGGAAGCTGGCACCACTTTGGAAGAACAGTTCTGGAGTAGATACATATTACAGAAGCTAGTTTTCCCAAATGTCAACATTTGTATTTTCTCCAAAACCGAGAGAAATTGTTATGTCTTGATAGTTCAGGGTAATGTATTTATTTATTATTTCAATTTATATGGTGACCCATCTCAAATCCATGACTCAGGCCAGCACTGAAAATGTTACCAAGTTGGGTAATGAAATGTCTGTAGAAAAACAACCAAGTTCAGAGAACACCAAGGACTCCACAGTTCAGTCCTGAGCTACATATATTCTCTAATATTGGTACAACAAATTAACAAAAACACTGAACCAGCTTTGCCATACATCCAGATTCCCAAGCAAGCCTGATAGCAAAGCCACATCCTTGTGTAATGCCAGCAGGGCTACAGCACTGAACTAGTCCTGAGGGATTGTGTTCCAAAGGACTGGTGCCATTTTCAGACTCAGGGAAAAGTTACTTCAGAAGGTTTTGTACTACTTGAGAAGATAGAAAAATGCGGGTTAGACAGCACCACCACCAGATGGATCCGTAGCTGGCTGACCGGCTGTACTCAGCGTGTGGTCCTCAATGGTACTGCATCTACATGGAGGGAAGTGTGTAGTGGGGTGCCCCAGGGCTCTGTTCTGGGTCCAGTGCTCTTCAACATCTTCATCAACGATCTGGATGAGGGGATAGATGGGGAACTCATCAAATTTGCAGACGACACCAAGCTGGCAGGAATAGCCAACACTCCAGAAGACAGGCTTAGGATACAGAAGGATCTGGACAGACTTGAACACTGGGCGCTATCTAACAAAATGAAATTCAATGGTGAAAAAAGTAAGGTTCTACATTTAGGCAAGAAAAACCAAATGTACAGGTATAGTATAGGGGGTACCTTGCTCAATAGTAGTAACTGTGAGAGGGATCTCGGAGTCCTAGTGGACAATCATTTAAATATGAGCCAGCAGTGTGCTGCAGCTGCCAAAAAAGCCAACACAGTGCTAGTCTGCATTAACAGAGGGATAGAATCAAGATCACATGAAGTATTAATACCACTTTACAATGCCTTAGTAAGGCCACACTTGGAATACTGCATCCAGTTTTGGTCACCAGGATGTAAAAAAGATGTTGAGACTCTAGAAAGAGTACAGAGAAGAGCAACAAGATGAT